TGTTCAACATCGAGGAAGAGATGAAAGATAACCAGTGGAGGAGGAGGTACTCTATTGACTTTTTCTTTAAGTCCTTTTTCATGCAAATCATTTTATTGGATTTGCAAAACAAACATTGTGGAAGTGTAACTTTAGACTTCGGGTTAATGTGACAGCATTTCTCATTATTTACAGAATTTCTTTTAATCCTAAAATGTATGGAAAAATGTCTAAGCAGATTTATTCATAATTATTACTATTTGCATTTCAATACAAAATATAAAAAAAGTAAGCTCCACCTCAACCGACTCCAACAGTAAAATCATATGAATGGACAGGTAATAATAATTTGATGATATAATATAAAATGGTATAACAGTCGGAGTAATAATTTTCAATGCAAGACTTTTATACAAAAATGTATTCACCTTTGAGATGTAGTGGAGTAGAAGTTGGCATGAGAAGAAAAAACTACAGTTAAATACAAGTAGGCGGACAGACGGGTCTCAGTTGGTTTGGTGGCCTATGCTTACTTTTAATACTTGTAAATACAACTTTTGGCCCGTAATTTAAATTCCCCATTTCAGCGACCAGAGAGAGGGGGGGATATATCCAGTCTCTGATTGTGTTACGTTATTATGAGAGTGCTCTCATACTTGTTTGATTCTGAAATTGTATATATTTATATAAATATATGTGTGTATATATGTCCGCAGCTGTAGCCTGTTATTGTCTCATTATACCGCACTGTCAATGAATTAAAAGTAAATATATAAGTCGTCATGAACACAGTTCTGTCCATCAGACAGAGGGCTGCTGTGCCTCCTGTCATCATTAACGGACGTCTCTTTAAAATGACCGCTCAGAGAGACAGCATTTTCTCCATATTATCACAATTTTTACAAATCAAGCAATCATTCAAATGATGGAGAAATGATTTAAGCAGATTCATCTATAATGATTATATTCATTGCATTTCAATACAAACATTTAATAATGAGATCCAACTCCACCAACTCCAACAGTACAATAAAATGTATGCATTAGGCACAACAATCTGATCAGATATGAGCAGTGGCGTTTTTATATGTACAAAAGTGGTGGGGCACAAAAAACTTAGATGTCTATATATAAGCTTCTGCAGTGACGTGCAGTGAGGTTCATGGCTGGTGAGGCACTGGCACTGACTCTTCAGGTTTACAAATATTATATTTTGACCTAAACCAAAATATAATATTATTTTCAAAAGCTTTTTTTGTGTGATGCTTCGATTAATTTTAAACAGACAGTTCAACAAAAGGATACCCAAAAAATGTAATTTTATCATTTAAATATTGAATTGTTCTCTCTTAGTAAGATCCCATTTTCAATCAAATGGCGGTCTTAACTTGACTTGAAGATGAAGTCCATTTGCCTATCCTTCTGGACAAACATTTCTATTACTTTTTTGTAAAAGTCCTCCTTATGTTCTTGTAGTTTCAAAAGTCTATCATAAATCTAATCCATAGATTTATGATAAAAAAATTATAAAAGTAGGGTAGACATGTGGATGTTATCCGGCTAATCAAAACGTGCATTTATCTAACAGGTACGTTTCCCACAGATCTTATTTCGAGCTATTTTCTAAAATCCTCTGGAGAAATCTCATTGCTTTTTTGTGCTTACTTCCTGGTTTTAGGACGCGCCACTGCAGCTCTCTCGTCTCCTCTTCAAGCACCACACTTTTCGCGGCACACGTATTTACAGCCAATCAGCTCTGAATGATTTGAGATGACGTATGGTGGGGATGGTAACTCCGTGCCCCTCTGGTCATTATTTTTTTGCCACACACATTACATTACAAAATACTCTGAGCATGCGCAGTGAAGTTTTTACAGTCACCGTTGACTTCACAGCGAGAGGAAGGGGCATAATCAGGTTTTGTCCCACATGGCTCTAAACAGCTCAATAGGCACACACTGTGACTGTAGACACACTAATTAGAAGAACACAGACTAAAACAGCAATGTACAGACGAATCAGATGATTAAACATGATCTTAAAATATATTTTATATATTTTTTTATTTATTTTTTTGCATTTTTGTAATCATTATTTGTAATACTTTCTGCTGACACTAGGTGGGGCTGTGCCCCACCTGCCCCTAATGACCAGTCGCCACTGGATATGAGGTCATATATTATAACGATCGCAGCTTTGAGTGCTTTTACTTATTAATAATATTGCAGGGCTTTACTGGTGATAGTATATTTTTTGAGTGATATTATTACTTTAGAACGTATTAGTCTACCTTCTGTCAATCAACATCTTGTTTAAGCAGTACTTATATAAACTGCTGTGTTTAACTTCTAACCAAACATCATAATCTCTTCACTTTTTTATTCAAAAATGTGTATTTGTTAAGTAGCTACTAACTAAAGTTGTCAGATGCATGTTATGAAGTAAGAAGTAAAACATAATTATGTATACTTTAGTAAAGGGAAGTATTTAAAAATCTTTTTACAGAACATTTTATTTGTGCTTCGACAGCTCGCTCAAAAAATGTCACAGAATGATCAACAACAAAAACACTATCAAGTCAAATGAACATCCTGCATTTTAACAACAGCCTTTCAATAAAGAGGAACTTCACTGTGCATCCAACAAACACATGTAAGAACAAACATAATTATTATTATATATATATATATGTTTTTTTTTACAATAATATTGCACACGCAGAACAGTAACCTTCTGTTGATATTTTTCTCTGAACAGCAAAATATTAAAATGACCAAAAACTCTATTTCACTCAAACTCAATTTCTTACTATTTGTAGCATATACTACAATTAGAATTGTACTTAAACAACATTTGACAAATCAGATACTGGCAGATTGACCTTTTACTTTACGTCTATACTGTTATACTGTATTAGCTACATTTAGTCTTTTCTTCTGGTGATTCAGCTCCTGCTTCATTTATTAAACCTCTGCTCTGGACTGATATTACCTATGGTTATACAATACACATCTAACTGTTAGACAAACAAACATGTACTTTAAACTAAACACTTCTTAAGCATCACTCAGTTTAAGAATCTTAACACGTTATTTACTTGTGTATATCAAGTGTTTCAGTGGGGGTATTGAGGCTTCCCACGATAAAACGACTCATGTACGATCAAATATGATCTGTTCTGCTTTTGGGCCTGCTCTAAACAAACAGATCCTCCAGAGTCCAGAAAAATGTAATCCTGAGAAACTGAATGGAACAGATTGACCTCCAGTGTTTAGTGTTTATGCAGAACAGTCTTTAAGGTCATTTTGGATTCTGTCAATTCAGGTTTTTGTGGAAGAAAAAGGACAAACCAACCCCTTTTCTATAAGGACTCCATTGTTACAGATCATAATTAGTAGTAGTTTTTCCAAACAGAGAACAATTGAAATATCTCTTTCACAAACAAATAGATGAACAAATTATATTTTGTCTGTGTTCAAATCCTGACTTAAACACATTGAAACAGTTATTTAAATGCAGGAAACTCAGCTGTTGAAAAACTACTTTTTCAATGATTTTACCTAGAAATGGGAGGTTTGATATGGGCCTGTAGTTGTTCATTACTGAAGCTTCTAAATTATTCTTTTTTAAGAGGGCTTTAATGACTGCAGTTTTCAGGGCCTGTGGAAAAACACCTGAGTGAAGAGACTTGTTTACTAAACTTAACACAAAAAGTAAGGGAACAATGCTTTTTGGCAATAAATCTTATACCGTTGGAAAGCCTGTTTTCTGACCTTTCCAATGGTACCACATTTGTGAGGAACAAGCATTTGTGGGATGAGCAGCAGAGCTGAGTATGTGGGGTGCGCCCATGAAAAATGTGACAAATCTCCTCTGCCAAATAGTTTTTTTTGCTGCTGACTCTAGTTTGGTGTTGTTTGGTGGATTGGATGATTGAAGTCTAACAAATACAGACATATTGGCAACAATTGATTTATTAACAATTGATTCATTTAACAAGCAGCCTCAGTAGCGTGTGGAAGAACCAAACACAGCCACAACAGCCTCTCCTCCTCATGCTGTCACCAGCCTGCTCACACTCTGCTGTGGGATGGCATCCCATTCTTCAACCAGCATTTGTCCCAGGTCAGCCAACGTGGTTGTGTTGGTCACTCTGGCAAGGACAGCAGGGCCAAGTTGATCCCACAAGTGTTCATTGGGGTTGAGGTCAGGACTGCAGGCCATCCTCTCCACTCCTACTCTATCGGTGCAGCAGTCAGCAAAGCCTTCTCTGCGTCTTCTCCACGATGTGACCCTACGATCCATGTGCTGTAGGCAGAATCTGGACTCACCGCTGAACATAATGTTCCTCCACATGTTGAGGTTCCAGTGCTCTGAACATAATGTTCCTCCACATGTTGAGGTTCCAGTGCTCTGAACATAATGTTCCTCCACATGTTGAGGTTCCAGTGCTCTGAACATAATGTTCCTCCTCATGTTGAGGTTCCAGTGCTCTGAACATAATGTTCCTCCTCATGTTGAGGTTCCAGTGCTCTGAACATAATGTTCCTCCACATGTTGAGGTTCCAGTGCTCTGAACATAATGTTCCTCCACATGTTGAGGTTCCTAGCAGCCATACGAGACCGGAGAGTGGCTGCTCTGTGGCATTGGCAGAGGAGATTTGTCACATTTGTCATGGGCGCACCCCACATACTCAGCTCTGCTGCTCATCCCACAAATGCTTGTTCCTCACAAATGTGGTAACATTGGAAAGGTCAGAAAACAGGCTTTCCAACAGTATAAGATGTATTGCCAACAAGCATTGTTACAACATAGAAATCGTCTACCAAACACAAATTGCCTTACTTTTTGTGTTAAGTTTATATTTAGTAGACCTGACAGTTAAGTTATCTTGACTGGAAGCAAAAACAACCTTATAAGGACTTCATTTAGATACATTTTTGAGGAACTCTCTTTAAAGACATCCCCATCTACGGGTCCAACAGGAAGTCTTTTTTTCTTCTAACAGTGTGCAGTGAAACGTTCCTGTAGTTCTCTTTCAAAGTCACTGACGATCACAGCGATAAAATGTCTGCAGCTGAAGTTGTGTATTCTAATGAGGAGATTATAATGGAGAGGGGAAACACTGACGGTGAGTCTGAAGTATAATAATCTATCTATCTATCTATCTATCTATCTATTTATTTATCTATCTATCTATCTATCTATCTATCGATCATATTTATAAAAAAAAAAAAAAAAAAAAAAAAAGGTACAATAGCTTTCTAAGAAATACTTCGAAGACGCCTTTGTTTCTGATGTTTGAGGGATATGAATGTTTCATCTCGCTTTAAATCAATGCTGAGGACAGATTCACAGCTTGTTCAGAAAGTTTTGTGTTTGTTTTGTGTTTTCAGGGAGCGCTAACTCACCGATTGAAACCACTTACTCTGAATTCGGCATTGTGAGGAGACGGCCATCTACAGAGCTTCCTGGTTAGTAATAAAAAACATAAAAGATTAATATAAAAGGAGAAAAATGACCTAGCAGAGTTATGACATGGAGGGGGGGGGGGGGTCCAAGGGAAAAGCCAGTTTGAAGAGATGAGTTTTGAGGGCTTGTTTGAAGGATGATAGGGTGGGTGATTGTCTGATGTGTATAAGGAGGGCGTTCCAGAGGGATGCTGCAGCAGAGAAGGCCCTGTCGACCCAGGTCTGGAGTAGTCCTGGTGGTCTTTAGGGTGTTTGCAGATCTGAGGCAACGGGTGGGGATGTGACGGTGGACGAGGTCAGAGAGATAGGGGGGGGGGGCAGGTTGTTTGGGGCTTTGAAGGTGGTGAGTGATATTTTGTGGACTCTTCTGTTTTTGACTGGGAGCCAGTGGAGGTTGTGGAGGACCGGAGTGATCAGTATCGGTGGAGGGTGGAGGTGAGCAGGAGGGAGGCAGAGTTTTGGACGTATTGCAGTTTGTGGGTGATTTTGTTTGGTAAACTGTAGAGGACGCTGTTGCAGTAGTAGAGTCTGGATGGGGGGGTGGATGAAGGTTTCAGCAGCAGTAAAAGAGAGGGAGGGTCGGAGGCGGGCAATGTTCTTGAGGGGGGGGGGGGGGGGGGGGGGGGGGGGGGGAATGTGGTGATATGGTTGCCATGGGAAGAAGAAGACGGTCTGTTCAAATATGACACAGAGGTTGTGGATCTGGGTGCAGGGGGCATCAATGGGGAGTGAGTTATTTGATAAGATACTGCCACATTTGAATATTTAAACATACCATTTTGGAAAACTTGTACAATTATTGTATCTAAAGTTTTTTAAATGTTGGTACATCTAAGTTACATGTTTTAACCTATTCACCCTCATACAAACAGATTCAAATACAAATGAGGGGTTACTTCTGCTTTAAAGACCATTGTGGAGATTATTACAAGTTCAAATGTCTTCATTAAAATAAATCAATGTTTCGAGAACATCTTTAGAACAATGACCCTCACCTTTTTGAAAACACATCCCAAGTGGTCTCTCTCTTTCTGAGCACAGAGTATTTGATATTTTCAGATGGACGATGTAGAGTCACCTCAGAGAGAGCGGCTGTGTTTGTTCTCAGCGTTCTCCTGGCAGCTTATCTCATCACTCTCGGCCTACACTGTGAGTTTCTCTCTTCTTCTCTGCATTTCAATTATTACCTTGATCTTTCCTTATGATAATCCTCACTCTAAATTGGAATGATTACTACTATTCTACAAACCATACTTTCTTTCTCTTTTTTAACCATCAGTGTATAAAGACAACCAAACCAAAGAAAGTATTGGGGCTGTGGAAAATAATCTCAAAGGTTGTTTTAACTCATTTTGTAATAACACTCATATATTATCATTATATATCTCTAAAATAATAACCTTCACCCTAAATTGACCTTGGAATGTTTTGCCTCTGATGGATAGTGTGCTCTGCAAACTATACGATTCTCCAAAAGATGATAGATGAGCGTGACGCTGAGATAGAAAACCTCACAGGTAAACTTTGTCCACATCCAGATCTCTTTCAAATGTTTTAACACTCTTATTGTTCTGTTAAATATTCATCTTTGTGTCTCTTCTCGACTGAGTGAACCATGGAAGAGTTTTGATCTCTGTTCAGGTTCTCAAGAGACACCTCTGATGAAAGTGAAATCTTTTGTATCTTTTTCCCAAACAGAGAGATTCTCTGCAGTAAAACCATGCAAACCGGAGTCACCAAAGTGCCCTGAAGTAAACAGTCAGTGATGGATTTACTTTCTCACATGTTTGCATCTTCTGATGATGAAGTGACAGATTGTCACACACAAAAAACAGATGTGTATCACCTGAATAAAGACTTTGCTCTGATCTCTTTAAAGGGGACTGTCCAAAATGTCCAGTCGGCTGGGAGCGTCATGGAGGGAAATGCTATTATTTCTCCACCTATACAGCAACCTGGACAAGTAGCAGAGATGAATGCAGACGTAAAGGAGGAGATCTGGTTAAGATAGAGAGCAGAGAGGAGCAGGTATAACACACTGCTGCAGGGTCACGATTCACCACTTTGTTTCTGCAGTAGTTAGCACAGAGAAGTTATTCAACATATTTGTTTTTGCTGTCCAGGAATTCCTGGAGCAGAAAGTGAGAGATGAAATGACTGCAGATCAGGACAAGTTCTGGATCGGACTGACGGACTCAGTGACAGAGAGAACATGGCTGTGGACAGACGGGTCAGCACTGGACAACAGGTTTGATTGTTGTAAACAAATTATTTGTCAATTTCCAATATCAGAGTCATCACTTTAATTAAAGCACGTCTTTCTATTCCAAATATCTCAGTTTGAAGTTTTGGAGCAGAACTGAGCCAGACAACTATAAAGAGGTCCATTCTGATGGAGAGGATTGTGCGAGGATGGGGGAGAGAGGCAAAGCAGCACACGTGATGTGTTGGTTTGATGCACCTTGTATAGACCCTCACAAAAGTATCTGTGAGAAACCAGAAGAACCTTGACAGTTGAAGTGTGTCTGAAAACAGTTCAGCTTAAGTCTCGCTCAGCATGTTTAAAGCTCATGATCAAATAAATAAATTCGGTCCTGCAAACAGAACAGTTTCTTGAATGTGTTCAACATCGAGGAAGAGATGAAAGATAACCAGTGGAGGAGGAGGTACTCTATTGACTTTTTCTTTAAGTCCTTTTTCATGCAAATCATTTTATTGGATTTGCAAAACAAACATTGTGGAAGTGTAACTTTAGACTTCGGGTTAATGTGACAGCATTTCTCATTATTTACAGAATTTCTTTTAATCCTAAAATGTATGGAAAAATGTATAAGCAGATTTATTCATAATTATTACTATTTGCATTTCAATACAAAATATAAAAAAAGTAAGCTCCACCTCAACCGACTCCAACAGTAAAATCATATGAATGGACAGGTAATAATAATTTGATGATATAATATAAAATGGTATAACAGTCGGAGTAATAATTTTAAATGCAAGACTTTTATACAAAAATGTATTCACCTTTGAGATGTAGTGGAGTAGAAGTTGGCATGAGTACTTTCAAATTGTAATCAAGAATTTAACAAACATTTTACCGAACTGTTTCATTTGTGCTACGACAACCTGGTCAATTGTAAAATGAAATAAATTATTTTCATCTATAATTTGTCTTGTTTGTATTTTTGTATGCAACTTTGAAAGCTTTTTTTTTTTAGAATAACGTGGATTGAACGTGAGGTACATGTGCTACCAAGCAAACCTCCACCCAGAAGGCTTCTCAATACTCTAATGTCCCCTCCTCGACTCCTCGGTCCTCCGGTAGTGACCCGGAAATGGATTTCAGCGCGCCATGTTGAAGGACATTTGACTTAGAAAGGGTTATTAACGCCTTTGTTACCTCAAGACTGGACTATTGCAACGCTCTGTATGTGGGTATGGACCAGGCCTCAATTAAACGCCTGCAGCTAGTCCAAAACGCAGCTGCACCGGGCCCGGCGCCACGAGGGGGCAAAAGGGGGCATTGCCCCCTCAGTTGTCTTATTTGCCCCCTCACTTTGAGCATCATTCATCCATCGAAAAGTAAAATAAATGTCACAATTATTAAATAACTTTAAATAATTATTTTCCCCAATACACGTTACTATGTCTAGATCAGATATGTAGGCAGGCAGTCAAGCAACGTGTAAAAAAGCCTCAACCCCAAGTGAGCTTGTAGTCTTAATTAATGTTAGCGTGTGTGCTTAGCTGTAAACACAGTCGGATGGGTGACCAAAACGTCCCCGTTTTCCGGGCAAAGTCCCCTTTTTCGGTGGCCGGTACCCGGTTGAAACTCGCGAAAATGTTCCAGTTTTTGAATGTGCGTTAAAAAACATAGAGCAAGGTGAAATCAAATGTTACATGTCAATAAAAACAGAGTAACAGTGTTGTGCCTGTTTGTAGCATTAGCGTATTTCTTCTTCTACTACTTCTTCTTCTACTACTTCTTCTTCTTCTACCTCTACTTCTTCTTCTTCTACCTCTACTTCTTCTTCTTCTACCTCTACTTCTTCTTCTTCTACCTCTACGGGTGTTTCTCAATCGCGAGTACGCTTGCTTGGTAGCACATGTCTGCCGAGCATCTTGCTTCAGAAGCGAGTCAAGAATACTTCCTGGCATTCGGAAAACGAAGTGTGGAACACGCTAGCAAGTGTGCAGGTGTGCGTCATATGAGAGGCCCCGCCTTACATCTTCCGCCACAGATTTGGGGAAATTGGTCCGTGCGCAAAGCATTGTGGGGATTTTAAGACCGCGAAGTCTACTCATGTGCAGACTCGATATTTCTCCAAACGGAGTACGCCGGGCTCGGTAGATTTCCAAGTATGCTGGAGATTGGAACAGTACTTTGGCGGCACTCGATGACGTAGTATGCTTGAAATAGTGGCTCTGAAGCAGCTTTACTCGCGATTGAGAAACACCCTACTTCTTCTTCTTTTACCTCTACTTCTTCTCCTTCTTCTTCTTCTTCTTCTACCTCTACTTCTTCTTCTTCTACCTCTACTTCTTCTTCTTCTACCTCTACTTCTTCTTCTTCTACCTCTACTTCTTCTTCTTCTTGTTCTACTTCTAATTCAATGTACCTTCCCGCAAAAATATTGGACAAAAGAAACTTGGCTAGTAGTGTCAACTAAATCCATAGTATTAGAACAAAAGTGCTTTAAACAAGGTAAATTACGAATGTATGTTCTCAATCGCCAAGTACGGGATTGAATTTTAAATGAGTTTAGATTAGATTGATTGTCCCCAGGGGGAAATTCATTTTCACAGCACTGTGAAAACAATATGAAATCGACAAAAAATAAGACAGACATCTACAGATAGCACCACACATGATGGTTACTTGTTATTATTTAGGGCTGCCTGTATGGATCAGGATTTTGCCAAAGCGAGCCCTTTTACTATAATAATAATATGTTATGTATTATATAAACCATATTGGTACAAGGAGCGACAGTGAAGGATTTTGGAACATTGATTTGATTTTTCTCATGGCAGTTAGACTCTAGAGACAAACCAGGGGACTGTATGTTTAATCTGTGTCTGTCCATTTGGTGTAGTATTTTATCCAATATTACATTTAGTTTATATATTAGTCACTTTGTTATGAAATGCCAGGTTTTAGGCCTTGGTTTGAACATTCAATCCTGGAAATAAAAAATCAACCAGATTAATTTTTCTTTAATCCTGATATAGAGTAGATAGTAAGTAAGTAAGTCAATCTGTATAGGAAGACGAGTTAAGGGATAGAGGAGAAAAGGTTATGGTATACAGAGCCTGTCAATTTATAAATGGAGGAAATCAATGTTAGTCTGTTAACCAAAGTGCAGCCATCTAATAATGTACTATCGTTAAAGATCAGAGGAAAAGAACCGAATGAGAGGGGTAAATCCGGAATACAAATAAAGAAGCAAAGAGATTGTAGAGCAGTGAGAAGGAAAAAAGCTTGGTGTGTCAATTCATTACATTGCCAGTCATTTCATCCTGGAGCCGGGTCTGAGCTGCACGTTTGCTGACTGGCCACAAAAAGCGTGACCACATCACATCTGGCCTCACTACACTGGCTTCCAGTTCGGTTCAGAATTGATTTTAAAATCCTTTTATTTGTTTTTAAAGCACTAAATGGGCTGGCTCCGGCCTATATAGCTGAACTCCTCCAGCGCTACACCCCAGCCAGAGCTTTAAGGTCTGCTGACCAGCTGCTGCTGGTAGTGCCCAAGACCAAGCTTAAAACCCGAGGGCACCGAGCCTTCGCAGCAGCTGGCCCTAGGCTCTGGAACACTCTGCCCCTCCATGTGAGGTCGGCCCAGACCCTAGGGGTTTTTAAATCTACACTAAAAACACACTTCTTCTCTCTGGCCTTCTAGTTAGAGCGGAGTGCGACTCCTGACTTTTCCTTGTGTTTTTTTTTTAATATATATCTGTTGTAATTTATTGTCTTTTATTGTGATTGTAGTAATGTGTTTTTATTACATGTACAGCACTTTGGCTCGACCAAAAATCGCTTTTAAATGTGCTTTATAAATAAAACTTGATTTGATTTGATTTTGATTTGATTTGATTTGACATCTCATTTCTCTAAAAATGCACATCGAGGACCGAGCATCGAGCATCGAGGAGGCTCTATGGAGGAGCTATAACCGAGGATACACCATGGATGTATAATAAGAACAATAATAAGGGATACGTTAGAGGTTTCTCAATACTCTAATTTCCCCTCCTGGACTCCTATCCTCGAGACTTAGTCCCGCCCACAGGAGATGCGAGCGGAGGACTGAGGAGGGGAACCGAGGAGAGAGGAGGGGAAGCAGCAGGCGGTTAGAGAAATGAGAACTCCTCTCCTCTGAGCGGTCATTTTAAAGAGACGTCCATTAATGATGTCAGGAGGCACAGCAGCACTCTGGCCGTTTCTCAATCGCGAGGATATTGGCTTCCAAGCCAATATTTCAAGGATGCTAAGTCATCGAGTGCCGCCGAAGGACTGTTCCAATATCCAGCATACTTGGAATTCCATAGAGGCCGCGTCCTTGGTTTGGGGGAAATTTCGAGGCTGCACATGGGTAGACTTCGCGTCCTTAAAATTCCCACAATGCTTTGCGCATGGACCAATTTCCCCAAATCTGTGGCGGAAGATGTAAGGCGGGGCCTCTCATATGACGCACACCTGCACACTTGCTAGCCTGTTCCACTCTTTGTTTTCCGAATGCCAGGAAGTATTCTTGCCTTGCTTCTGAAGCAAGATGCTCGGCTCGGCTGTGCTACCAAGCCAGCATCCTCGCGATTGAGAAACGGCCACAGTCTGATGGACAGATGTGTTCACGACGACTTATATATTTACTTTTAATTCATTGACAGTTCGGTATAATGAGACAATAACACGCTACAGATGCAGACATATACACACACATTATATATTTATATAAATATATACAAGTTCAGAATCAAACAAGTATGAGAGCACTCTCATAATAACGTAACACAATCAGAGACTGGATATATCACCCCCCCTCTCTCTGGTCGCTGAAATGGGGAATTGAAATTACGGGCCAAAAGTTGTATTTACAAGTATTAAAAGTAAGCATAGGACACCAAACCAACTGAGACCCGTCTGTCCGCCGCATCTACGCACTGTACAACACACACACCTACACACTGTACAACACACACCTACAGCTCCTAAAGCATAATTAGGCTACAGCCGTTGTGTATTTTATTATGTGAAACACTAAATGGTCTTCGAAAAATATCGACTCTTTGTTTGTAGATATCTACTAAACTACAGCATACAAACACAGAGAGTAATGTAGGCCTGTTATACTGAGTGATATATATTTTACACACTGCTCTGCTTTCTGCACGGATCTCACAGCTGTTCTCACTGTAAACATCGCGTCGCCATTCAAGCAGTTACTAAAATAATATCCAGGGGATGCATGCAGAGCTGTCATTGGCTGAGATAAGTCCGGCCGTGCGTCACGCCTCCACCGTTCCCGGAAATGCATCCGCGGAGGAGCCGTGGAGGACCCATCAGTGGCCGTTTCTCAATCTCGAGGAAACTGGCTTCCAA